ACCTTTTTGATATCCTCTACTTCTTGTCTGATTACACACACATACACACACACACACACACACTCACACACACACACACACACACACACACACACACACACACACACACACACACACACACACACACACACACACACACACACACACACTCACACACACACACTCACACACACACACACACACACACACACACACACACACACACACACACACACACACACACACGAAGAAAGAGAGACGGAGAGTGAGAGAAAGAGAGACCCAACGAAGAGAGAGAGGATGAGGAAAAGTAGTGAGGGGGAGAAACCGAGCTCTGATCTGCAGTGCCATAAATACACACACTCATTATCAGTGACGAGGGGGAGGGGGCAGGCAGAGAAGGGGGGGTGGGGGTAGGAGTTAAGGGTTATCTACTGTTAGACGAACTGTTCAACACGAATGCTCGGGTGTGCGGTGCTTTACCGTCTTCTTGCCCCGATTCTTTGAACACCTCTAGCAGATGTTCGTCTCTTAAAAAGTAAATACTAAAACGCTTAAAAAAAATAATAGATATTTCTTTGAATTCGCATCACAAATGATGTTGTTTTATTGCCTTTTGTAGATAATGAGATTATCAAATAGTACATCAACTTTCTTTTTCTTTTGATTATAGTAAAGATAATATAATTGATAGTGCGAGTAATGATGATAAATATAGTGATAAAAGCATTAATAACAATACAAATTGTAATAAAAATGATAATGATATAAGTATTCACAATAATAATAAACGTAATTTTAATAATGATAACGACAATGATCGTTGTAACAATAATCATAAAAATCATAATACTAGATGTAATAATAAGCATTATATTTATATGAATAGTAAGAAAGAAACAATAAGATAACGATGATAATAACAACAATATGGATAATTATAACAATAATGATTATATTGATATGAATGATAATCATATAAATAATGTAATAGCATTAATAATGACAACAATGATAATAATCATTATGACAATGAATATATTGATATGAATGATAATGATATAAAGATTGTGATAACATTAGTAATTAGTATTAGTAACAATATCAATAGTTATAATGATACTGATGATAATCATAAAAATTATAATTATATTGTCATTGCTACTGATGATGTTATCAATGATAATAATCAAAATTTAAATCATAATATCTAATAACAATGATAATGATAATAATGATAATAGGAATCCTAATAATGATAATGATAGTAATAATGTAATAGAAATAATGATAATTACATTATTATGATAATGATAGGAATCATACTAATAATAATGGTGATAATAATAATAATAATAATAATAATAATAATAATAATAATAATAATAATAATAATAATAATAATAATAATAATAATAATAATAGTGGCAATGATAATCATAATAATAATAGTAATAATAATAATAATAATAATGATAATAATAATAATAATAATAATAATAATAATAATAATAATAATAATAATAATAATAATAATAATAATGATAATCATAATAATAGTAATAAGGATAATAATGATGATAATGATAATAATAATAATGAGAATGATGATACTACTAATGATAAAAATAATAATCATTATTATTATCATTATATTATTGCTATTATTATCACCAATCTTACTATAATCATTACTTTTATAAAGATAATAGTAACGATAGTAAAATTAATGATAATAACAATAATGGTAAAGATTACGATTGTAATAAAAATCATAAGAATAATATTGATAACGATACTGATAAAATAATAAAAATAACAATAATAATAATAATAATTGTAATGTTAATAATGATAATGATAACAATATAATGACAATGATGATAATGATAGTAATTATGATGATCATAATGATAACAGTAAAAATGATAATATAATGATGATACAAATGATAATAGTCATAATACTAATAATAAGAACAACCGTGATAACTATAATAATGATGAACTAATGATAATAATAATAATAATAATAATAATAATAATGATAATAATAATAATAATAATAATAATAATAATAATAATAATAATAGCAATAATAATAAAAATTATGATAACTACAATAATTAAAATAACAATGATAATGATAATTACAATAATCAAAATAACAGTAATAATGATAATAACAATAATAATAATAATAACCATGGTAGCAAAATTAATGATAAAGTCAATAATAGTAATGCTAATATTAATTACGATATTAATAATGATAATGATAATAACAGTGATAGTAAGAATACTAATAATGATGTCAGAAATCATAATTATCATTAAAGAATTATGAAAATAATCATCATCACCATCTTCATCTTCTCGCGACAGATCAGACAGACCGAACTCACGACGGCTTTTCACAATGACTCGAAGCGCTAGGATACGGTCTATTGTGGACTTGCGAGGGCTGAATCCAGATTGCTCCGGTCTCTGGTGCCTTAGGAGGTGGTCGCAGATCCGTTTCAGAAGAATGCGGGCGAAAACATTGCCTTGTATACTGAGCAGTGCAATGCCACGGTAGTTGCTACAGTACCATCGACCCCCTTTCCCCTTCCTGAGAGAGATGTTCATGCCCCTCAGTAGGTCAGAAGGAATGGAACCAGACTGCCAAATGGGAGCCTAGACTTTAT